CTTCACAACGCGCTGGCCTGGTGTTGTTATGAGGAGAACACAGAAGAGGTCTGACTTTCCAGAAACCGTATGTACAGTAAGCACATTTTGTAATCCTGTGAAAACACGACTCCAGCCATGAGTTCAAAAATACTCTGAGAATCTCGGAGAGTTTCCCCCTGTGGATCCCTCAGTCATAAAGGCGACCAGTCGACTGTGGTTTAGCGTTTAGCGTGAGTGAGAAGGGCGGCAGCAGCGGCCCTGTTTTGACAGTAAATGACATGACGTGTAACTCCATTTAATGACAGGAGGTATATTATAGCTTGAACTTTATTATGTTTGGCGTTGGAGCTTTGTTTTTCACTGACCTTGAGGAACAATTTGAGTAATATTCACAGACCAAACTTGTTTTATGTCTGAAACAGAGCTCGTTTCTGTTGACAGGGCTAATTGTTAAGTGTGTGGTTGCTGATCTTGAGGCCAAAGAACCACTTTTGGTTGTTCCACTAAGATTTGTTTAACTTGCACAACCACAAAGTGTTTTTTTTTTCTGCGTTGACACTGGTCATACTGTATCCATTGTGCACGGCGTCAGTGTGCTGACTTTTTCTAATAATAGAATATAAACTACTTGGCAAGCAGGACTGCATTTAAAGATTCCACCTCCTTTGTAAAGAGGCTGGCCTTTGCAAAAGGGAATTCTATGTTTCATTTTGAAGTTATTGGTCCAGTTCCAAGTCCATCTAGCCTCCACTGATCAAAGCTCGAGTCAGAGAAAAGCCTAGCAGGAGGCTTATGCAAAAATGTCGTCTCCTTATTGCGAATCGGCCGACACGTTGGAAACCATTGGCGCTCGTTTAAATGTCAATATACCCCGATGCAGTTTGGCTCTGCTTGGTCAAGTTTGAAGTATGTGGATGAAAAAAAAAAAAAAGAGAAAAGCTTGCTCGGAGATAGAGTTTGGAGGGTTTTGAAAGTTGCATTGATTAAATTCCTCCGCTTTCAGTCCTGCAGAGCGCAACATTTAACCCCGATAATATGGTGAAAATGCTCAAACGCTTTCCTTTTCTTGTAATTTACGTTTTTTTTAATACGCGGATTCTGATCTTTGGTTGTTGCTTCTTGCAGGAAATCCATTTCTGCTCACTGTCTATTATCACCGGTCTTGTAAGAGGAGATATAAGCCGTTTAAAAGGTTGATGACAACGTGAAGGGACATAAAACATTCCTTGAAATCCTGCAGTCAACCCCGCTACTCCATCTCACCGCTCCCCCTCCCCTCGGATGAGCAGGGTCTTCAGTGCTGATCCATTATGTTAGCGGTGAATTACTGGGTCACACATCAAGCACGACATTTTTTCACCTTTTAAAAGCAGGCCAGACGTCCAAAAGCCCATGACGGAGCAGGGGGACTTCTGGGTCTGTTGGAGGTAACTACCAGATAGCATCGCTTGGAATTTAAACAGAAGTATTTTTTTCTCCCTCAAAGCCGCCATCATTCAGTCTGACGGTTACTGTAAACATCATTCCAGCACACAGCATTATGAGACATGCTACTCTGCATTCCTGCAGCGCTTTTCAAAGGTGGAAAAATGTACAAAATATTACATGTTTATTAGCGTGGAGCTTTTACATCAAAGCAGGTTGTGTTTTAAGTGCTCAAAGGTTAGCAAAGGTGCAGCCCAGACCTGCTTCTTTACCGTCAACAATTAATATGAACTAATTTTCTTTCTGTCGTTGCTTCTACACGACTTCTGGATTTAATATTTAACTTCTAACTTGAGCATTTTTTAATTTATGCATTGTGATTGTGTAAGAAAAAGAAATGTTGCCAAAAAAAGTAATGAAATTAAACTCTAAAAATAGCACCATCTGTGAAACCTCACTGGTCTTTCCAGTGATATAAAAAGCCTCCAGGAATGCTGCAACATACCTTCCCCTATTTAAAAAACACTGACGTTTAGAGCAAGTCTTCACACTTTAGGTTTGTATATAAAAATGCATACCTTGGCATTATGCAGAGAAGGGAATGTACTCTACGTCCAACCAATCGCTACCTGCAGCATTTCTCTCCTAAGCGCTCTGGTATCTAACGTGCACATCATCAGATCCTAAATCAGTCCAAACTGTAAACAGACTCCTGCTACATCCACGATTCCGCACAAGTTATGAAATGTTCACAAAAACAGATTTTTTTCATCATTTGGAACCTGCACTTGAATACAAAAAAAATGATTATATAAGTTTTGATGCTAGCGACACATTTAAAACAGATCAGAGAGGGAAAACGAAACTCTACAAAAGTTGTGTAATGCTAAAAAAAGACGCCTGAAGAAACATCTCACTATTACCATTAATCCATCCATCACGCTGTGAGAGACTGCGTGAGTAAAATTTTCACTAATTTCGTTTAAATTTGTGTATTTCATCATCTGACTCTGTAGTGGAAATCACTGCATGAGCTCTACATCACTTACTGTCTCCGCACACCAAGCGTGAGTAATATCACTCGCGCGAATGAATAACATGTTAAGTCAATGCAAAGTTGCGATCAGACGCTCATACTACCGTATTTTTCGCACTATAAAGCGCACCTGATTATAAGGCGCACATCAATGAATGCGTCTATTTTCATACATAAGGCGCAACGGATTATAAAGTGCATTAAGCCAAACAAAGTGCACCGACAAGCCATCAGGCTGTGCGGCTCTGTAGCTAACCGAAGTGGTAATTAAAACATTTTTACAGATTTCTGAGCGCCGTGTACCACATAAAATCGGTTCGAGGTCAGTAAGCACAACCAGAATTCATACAAAAGTGCGAAAAACACGGTACTCTGGCGGCGCGAATGATGCGAATTGGGCGGACAAACTGATCGTGTCTGTGTGTGGGTGTCCCGAATTATATGATACCTTTTCTTTCAATTACCAAAATCAGAATAAAAAGGAGCTCACCTGAAGGAAATTAGGAGGTCAGATTACCTGATAAATTGTAAAAAAACCTTTGTCTATCACTTAATCCCGCGGTTGAATTGTCAGGGATTGTCATTGAGATTACCGTTAACGCTAGATTCGCGCGAATTAAGCGAGTAGATCATTTTACTCGCGCTTGGTGTGAGCGCTCCATTAGAAACAGTGATGTCTGTAAATGCAGTCCCCAAAATCTGTCCCATATAAAAAGTAAATCACAAAATCTTGCCACTTTTCCAGATTTGTTAGAAAAGTCAGCAACCCTGACAGTGTTTACAGCGCTCAACATGTCCCTGTCTCATCTGTTTAGAGTTGGAAACATGTTTTGCTCACATGAAATTAAAAGTGACCATCATTTTTTTTAAACACATTCTGTTGTCTTTACACTGTTCTTATTTAAATATAAGGTAATACTGTTTTTAAAATGATCAGAATCAGTTTTATTAACATTGAACGCAGCATCTCAACTTTTCTGGGACTCAAGGTCGTATTTTCCAAAGAGCAATAAAGACATAAAAAGGTTCATCTTTTAAAATATAGTCCTCATTTTATTAACAGAGGCCAAATAAAACTCATCACATTTTATTTACAAAGGGAGGCAATAAATATCTTAATAATAGTCATAAAATTATTTTTGCTTACATTTGTTTAAAAAAAAATCATAAATGTGTCATGTTGTTAGTAGCAACTCATACAAAAACAAACCTGCCGGCGGACAGGTGAATACATACTACAGGTGAGGAGGGGGCTGGATTTGTTGTCAAGTGAGAGGAGGAGTGAGAGAAGCAAAGACTTTCCCCCCTTGAATTGTTCCCAGGATTCCTGGATAAGTCGGTCATGTGGGGAGAAGTCTTAATTGTCGAATGTGGATTTATGAAGCGATCAGAGTCGGTTAGAGCTACAGTTTTCCTGCCTGTGGAGCAACAAAACAAGATTTCCCAGATTGAAAACAGAAGAGATGAGCTGACAGTCGAAAGGACAAGAAAAGAGGAAGGGATGAGTTCATGTTCTCCAGATTAAGTGAATTTACAGGCAGAAAGATAAACAGAAAGAGAAAAAAAAAAAGGAGGTAGAGGAAGTCTTCATCACCCACCCAAATTTTATCGAGCTCACGCCGAAAGAAACGGCGCGACACGAGGAAGTTAAAAAAAGCGAGTCCAGGTGGAGACGAAGGGGATTAACATCTGTCTTTCAAAAGTGATAAAGTTGGAAGACTCTGTGGAGTTATGAATCACATCAGCTGTTATGTTTTTGTTTGTTTTTTTTGTTTTTTTTTTAGTGTTTGAACAGGACTAAAGCCTCGGCTGGTGCCTGACTAGTCAAAGCATGTCGTGTTTTAGCTGAATCACAGGCTGCATGGAAACGTCAAGGAAATCACACACAGCACTCGGAGGGTTCAGCGCATTCCAGGAGTGAAGCTGAGGTTGAGAGACGTATGGAAAGAGAAAAAAACAGAGAGGTAGAGATAGAGAGAGAGAGAAAGAGAGACCTGTAAAATATTGCACTCAAAGCTAACACAGTTATCCCGGCAGCACAGTGTCACCTGCGACCGCCGCCACCTCCTCCTCTCCGTTTCATCTCCATGGTGTCTGATTCCAGTGGAAAGTATGGGATCCGCGTAGTCAGGGGCAACACAAACAAAAACCGACAGGTATTCCAATAAATCTCTAGTTGGCTGATTTTTATAACATTGCGTCAGCTCCTGCTTCAGCCCCCATTGTCAAAAAGAAAAGTGTGCCTTCAGCCTGCAGTTCAAACGGAGCTGAGGACGACAGCGACGGGGATCTCTCAGAGGTCCTTTAGTTTATCCAGTATAAATAACATGACAGATTAGCACAATGACATGAACCCAGAGGAATCCAAGAGTTGGGAAAGACTCAGTCATCCTGAAATATAAAAATAAAACATCTTTGACTTTTTTTTTTGTTCTTTTTGTCTGTCTCTCTTTTACAGAAGTGAAGTCTTTAAGGTGTTTCTTTTAAGACACGAAGCTTGAGATTTGCAGTTATTTCTCCCCTTCAGAGGAAAACTAGTGCTGTCCCATTGGTCCCATCAGTTCCTCTTGGAGTTGGGTTTTAACCGCCGAGCCCTTCGTGTCCGCTTTGTTACTGTGGTGAAACGAAACTCCTCCAGCGGGTCCATCCTGCCCTTGGGCTGGCGTTTCATGAAGTGGACTTCCTGTTGCCTCTGCGTGGTCCGCGAGCCTTTCTTGGGCCGACCCTTCCTGTTGAAGCCGAGGTACCAGCCTTTGTACTTGGCCGACACGAGAGCCGTGTAGTTGTTCTCCAGGAATTCCTCGACAAAGACGCACTCCTGCTTCCTTCCATCGGGCTGAAAGAGGGAAAAATAAGACATCAATTAATTTTTAACGCAGCAGCTCGACCTCTTTTTCAACCAGAGTGGCTCATTTTCACTGCGTCAGCGTGGGTGCCTTTTTCCTGAGTGGGTTTCTGCATTTCCCCCGGTAATGTAAAGTAACACTGAGTCTAAAATCGCAGGTTGTCCGCTGTGAACTTTTATCCAAATATACGAGTTCACTCTTCAAGAGCAATGCAACCAAATCAACGCAAACATTACTCTTCATGAAACGAGCAAATTAAGCTTTTTTTTTTTACAATTTACACCTTTCATTTAATAAGCGTAGACTTTAACTCCTTTGCAAATAATAAGTGTAGTTATTTTAAAAGAACGGCAGCATGAGTAAAGTTCCGTTTGTTGATCCAGATGATCCATAAATAAATAGAAGAAAAACTGTCACACTTTAGAGAAAGATGAGTGACTGAATGGTACCGGTCTTATCAGCTAAATCTTTTGATTTCAACTCTTTAGGGAATTAAATGTGACTTATTTGAAGTTTAGATGGCGTGCAGCACCGCTAACACCACCCCCTTCCAACCATACGGGAGACTCCGGCCTTTAAACTGGTAAAAAAATTAAACAATGCCAGAGTCTTCAGATGTGGCTTCTCTTTAAAAGTAGTAGTGCAACATGACTCACTCCCAAGATAAGATTCTGCACCATAACTACATCGTTATGAGTGTTTAATTATTAGGGCTGTAAAGTCCTAGTCCACTGGTCGACTTATTGGTCCATATGTGCTGAGTCGACCAAAATTCTCATTGGTCGACTCGATTTTTTTCTCCTTGTCAATTTACATTCTATGGTTAATTTCATCAGGAGGAACGTACCAAGTGCTCATGGGGGTGTTTTCAGAGCACCTCCGTTTTACAGGTAACAACCTGTCTCAGAACACCCCCCTAGTTTTCACCACTTTGGATTCGCCCAACCCACTGGAGACCAGCTGGAGACAGGAAACTTGAAGAGCATCAACGTTAATCAACGTCTGGTGGTTTGTTAAATATTTATATTTGTGTTCAACTGCCTTTTTGTGCTGATATCAGTATATTTTCAACCCCGCCGAGCCGCGCAGCCCACGCCGCAGAAGGGTTTGCCGGCAGAGTCGGAAAAACACCCCCCCCAATTAGTCGATTTTTGGTTGAAAATTTCAGGGTTTTAGCCGAACAAGAATTTCTTTGGTTTATTACTATTGATTATCTTTTCACCAGCAGACCTCCCACGCTCCAAAATGGACTTTTAAACTCCTGTGAGGTTGATCCTGATAAATCTGAACCTCATTTTAAATGAAAGGATTTTTGCAGCAAAATACTCTGACATTCATCCCCTACTCGCAGTTTTAAATATTGAACAGAGCTTAATGGAAATGATTTCTCTCTGGGCTTGTATGTGTTCTGATTAATTAATTAACTGATCAGTCTGATGGTAATAATTTCATAAAGGACAGCTATCACCACTTTGAAAATATTTGAAATGCCTCCTTTCATAGCCGACTAAGATCACTCCTTTGATAGAGTCATTTTTAAATGGTTTATAATGACAACTTTCACTCTGACAAGACCATCCGGATCACTTTTAATCAACTGTCGGTTGTTTTCTGCTTCGATGTTTAATGTCAGTTTATGTTGTTTTCTTGAACTGCCTCCAGCAGATCAAATTTCCCTCTCTGAACTCTGAAAACTTGACGAATGGAGGATTGTGTGTGTTTTGAATCTCTGGGTCTTTTTGTCCTTAAAGGCCACCGTTGCTTCACCAACAGGAGGGGTGAGCAGGGGAGCGTTTCAGTCTCGACTCTGACCGCTAAAACTTCTACGTAATGTACCTTTAAGCTGTGAGTAAAAGTATGAAGTAGAGAGGTCCGTGGATCATCCAAAGTAGAAGGTTGGGTTTTTTGCGACAGAAGAACACAGCACGGCGAAAAAGCTGGAAAAATAAAAACAAGCAACACGAGGAACTTCGAGGATTTATAACGCAACTTATTTTGATCAATGAGCAAACTGAGAGCCAAAGTCATTTTATCTGATTTTCCAAATAATCCTGAAGGAGGAAGTCAAAGTACATTTGTTACGAAAAAGAGGCCCCCGCAACTAAAACTCCAGGATGCATGTTTCTAACAGATGACCACGATGAGGGAGTGAAAACTTACTGCAGCCCCACTGATGCTGACAGCATGAGTTATTGATGCAACAAAATCACACGTGAGCCTCCCACCACAGTGTTCCTGTTCAAATATTAACTTCTTTTCCATATCGAAGCCGGCGTCCGCAGAGTCACATGCAGTCATCCCGCGCTTCTGGCCACCTGGTGTGACTAAGTGATATAATTGCAATGGCATTCCTCCTAAGTGACCATTAGTCTCTCAATGCATTGTGGTGATTGCAGTCCGTAATTGACTGATCGAGTGTCAAAGGAGCAGGCTGATTACGTAATGGAAGAAGGGCTGTGAGTTATCAAAGGGGTTTTGTTAGGGTGTACAAAAACAGCAGGAGAAAGCAGATCGGAGGCTGCGTTCGGATTAAGAGCTCCGTTCGAAATCTTCATTTAGATATCACACGGTGCCAGTTTGACTTTTGCTTTTCAATCACTTTCTTTAATCACAACGAAAAGCTAAGATACTCACCCTTCCGACTATTTTGCCCTTCTCGTTCATGCAGATGTAATGCTCGCTCTCTTTTCCTTTTATTCGAATGTGGCTCCCGAAGGTTTCTGTCTCGACGACGAGCAGAGCTGAAAAAAGAAAAGCAGAGTGGACTCTGTTAGGGGCAAAAATACGACCTAAGGTAAATTGAAACAGATCTTGTGTGTTTTCTAAAGTGGACTTGCAAATTTCCCTCAATAATAATTCCTCGTGTGTTTACGATGTCTGCTGAGAAACTGTGCAAAGCGAAGGCTCGGCATTTGAGAATTTCTTCAGCATTGAGCCTCATAAATTGATTTTGCACCAATGAAGCTGTTTACAGTATTTTGAAGTTAACTTCGCATGAATAGGTGGATTTTTGCAGCGCTTCAGAACAGCCGATTCACAATTCAAGCTACAGCAGACTATCTTTTGGTGAAATCTGCAATCAAATAATGAAGCTAATGTGCAATGTTGTGCAAATGTGCAAAGATCCAGGTCATAAAAATCAGCAAACATGACTTAATCTGACAAAAATTAAAGATAATGCATGGACAAAGATAATGTTTGATGATGTTATTTAACACAAAAATGTACAAAAGGCAGTCCTCCAGGTTAAATAATTGAATTCTCATGCAGGTAAATTGAGTTCAGATCTTTCTTTATATGTGGCAAAACAACAACGCCAACACTTCAACCTGACACAGCAGTAATCCACTCTCAAGACACATCCCGGCGGCTCTTTCATTCCCCCCTCCTCCTCTTCCTAAATGTTAACCCCTGCGAGGTCACCTTTGTCTCTGTTCGCCCCTCGACCAGCAAAGAGATCTGCCAAACATTTGTGGAGCGGTTATGTGCCCCTCAGGATTAGGTTTCAAGTTCCCTTTAGTCTGTGCTCACTCAATCAAAAAGTTAAGATGATCCATTTGTTTAACACACAGGGCCATTCAGTAGCGCTCAAGGGAGAAGGGGAAGAATAGGCGAAGGGGAAGGGACAGGCTGGAGGGCAGAAGTAACTCCCCTCCTCCTTCTCCTCCTTCTCCTCCTCCTCCTCAAATCCAGCTCTGAGAAGTCTGGGAAGAGGGAAAGCTATCTTAAAGGTGTTACTATTAAAAGTAGGAGAAAGCTGTTCCCTGATTTGGAGGATTTCTTTTAATTGGGAAACTTGAGTGTGTGTCAGTGGATAAAAAAAAGACTCTCCACAAGTCAAATCAGGAGTCTTTGGCCGTCTCACTCTAAACTTGGACCCAAGCGCTGACCTCAAGAATGAGGCCTCAGTCCAGAACATCAGATAAAACAATATTTCCCACCTACTGTAAGTTATCGTTTATCTGTGACCCCGTCCAAACCAGAATTTTTTCTTTATCTGTAAATGTATGAACCCAACACGGCCCTGCAATAACCTAACGGAGGCTTTCTGAGGGCAAGAATGTTACAGACTTTCCTCTGCTGATGGTACAACCACAAAAAAGAGGCCAAACAGATCCAACAGGGGGATTTCATTTGATTGTGACGGTATTAACTTGCAGATATCTTTGAGGTAGCAAGTGAAAAATGAGGGTATTGTTGTTTTTTTAAACAATCCCTGTGCTCCACAGCGCTTTGGTGGCCAGTAGTGGTAATTATAAATCAAACAGCCGACTGGAGTTTAAAGCTCCTCTGAGGAGTTTTAGGTGTTTATTAGGGCCAATTTTAGCCCGTTTGAGACTAATCGGTAATCGGCCAAAACTCGCAGATTTTTGCCGATATTTTCAGAAATAAAATGCGGAGAATAAGATTCGGTTTCACTTCGAAAATATTCCGCAATTTGAAAAGATCCCCTGACTTATCCTGTAGATGGCGCAGCGACCTCATGACAATATTACCTCACAGCACAGCAGAGTGACAGATCTGAAGCAGGCAGCTCAGGGACGCACAGAGGAGAGTGGTCCGCCTCAACGGTCAATAAACCAGTTTGTGAAAAACACAATAAGTCAACAAGTTTCAGTTCAACCCACTTCACCATGCTCTCCGCTGTGCTGGTCGCAGTCACGCTGAGTTAACGGTGAAGTACCATGTAATATGCAAGCTAAAGTTTGAGTTAGCCACCTGCTATTAGCCTTGCTACACTGTTAGCCGTGCCAGTAACGGTAGAATAGACAACAGTACACATGACGTGATCGAGCTACTTCTCTTCCTGAGGCAGCTGCATGTCTCCAGATGAGACCGGACCGGAAATGAGTAACGTGAGTTAAGACGCGGAGGCACTGATCGGCGAGGGGGGGTAGTTGAAAATGCTTTTCTGGTCCGAGTTTGATCAGTCAGTCTTCCTGTCGGCGTGAAGAGCAGTAGCCTACAGTATATCTACAGTATATAGTATACTGTAGATATCTACAGTATTTCTATTTTTTATAACTTCATAAAAATTTTAAAAATTGGCTGATTAATTGGTAATCAATAATAAGGTCATATTCAATGCCTAAAACCAAAGTGAGGGGAGTAGGTGTCAGTGGAGCCGCTGAAGAAACAGCCATGCTTTTACTATTTCAAAGTAAAACATAAAGTCCATGAAAAAAACCATCTGATATCACAACTAGGTGGAATAAAATATAAACAAGTTCTCAAGGCAGAGAAAATTCCTCGATTATTATTTGTAATCGGGGTACTCGAGTAATCGTTTCAGCCCTAATTATCTTTACGACAGGTACAGAGCTGTAAAGTTGTCTATGTTTCCAACCACTTCCAGCCTCTTGTTTATGAATTGTTCTGACATCTAACCTGAAAAGTCAATCACTAGAGGATCCAATAGCAATTACCTAGAGTGTTTCTGTTTCCCTCCTCCACCATGACAGGTAGCTGGGAACCAGCAGAGGATAAACCTGCAGGTGTGTCAGTGTGCATGCATAACTCGCTCCTCTAACAGCAGAGCAGGAAGTGTTCACTTTGTTAAAACCTCGTGCCTGCAGGACAAACGCTCGTATTTGAATATTATGACACTGGAATTTAAATAAGTATCTGCAAGCTCAACATAGTTCTGTAACACTGAAGGTGACGCCCATGAAGGAGGAGGAAGATGCTGATAGTGCTGCAGCTCCCGGACAGCGACAGCTAGCTTTCGGTTCAGCTCAGGGAGGAGGGGAAACAGGGAACATGAAGATGCTGCTCACATTGAAGACTGAAGACAGCACCAGTTAACGGTGGAAGATCTGAGCGAATCTTATTTGTGTGATGGATGCAAAAATGACTGTATTTGAGGTTTTGGTCATGCAATAGTTCTCTAAAGTGTAACCTTTGTTTTTTAAGTAAGGTTTTCTCATTTGTCATGATGATATAATTCCTGAGCATGTTTTTCTGCCATGTGAAGACGGGAAGTGAAATTCTGATATGATGTAAAATGAATGATATGGGGCTCAGGGCAGATTTACCGTTGAATCACTGTTTCAAATCCACTTTGCTGTATTAATCAGCTCAAAAGCCTTTACATTGACCCAGCGTTTGCTCCGAGGAGACAAAAAGCACCATTTACTGTAGATTCTTCTGGAAAGGATTGTCCCAGTCTCTTAAAAATGACAAATGTGCTTTGCAATTACAGAGAAAGGATTGTTGTAGTCTCTTTGTAGTAATGGATTTGATTCTTTAATACCTCAGAAGAATAATCACGCCTGCACTTTGCTGCGCTGATGCATCATAAAGCTCCACACAGAAGCGATAGATTTCCTCTGTGGCGCTTTGTTTCGCTCCGCCACGAAGCTGCAGCGACTGAGAGTAGATTAGAGCAAAGAAAATATCTTCCTGATTATTATTAGTGAGTGCAAAGGAGTTCACAGGTGCCAGGTACTGCAGCTGGATGGGGAGGAGGAGGAGGTAGACGGGGAAGGGGAGGGGCAGAGGGTGGAATTGGCAAGGCCTCATGGGAAAAATTGGATCTGCTTCCACTCAAGCTCTAACAAGCAGTGAGGAAACTTCGCCTCGGCGCATCTGCGACTGAACACACTCACTCAGAGGCATTCAAGACCAGCAATTTTCGAGCCGTGAGTCAGCTGTTATGAGCAAAATATCTGCAGGAGAGCACAACACCAGTCCTGCTGCCTTATGTTTGTGCCACTGCATCAAAGTCGGCTTCACTGACCATCAATTTACCCATCTGCAAGGGTTGTTTTGATTTGAGGTGGCGAACAAGTCCATACAGAAAGCAGAGAGATACACTTAAGGTCGACAGAAGCATTGACTTGTGTGAAAACGTTAAAGCCAAGAGCAAAATTATATGCTTTTGGTGACGTTAATGCTCTGGATTTTACTACGACCGAAGCTGAATCAGAGCAGCTCCCCAGGTCAATGACGAAAAGCATTTCGAAACACAGTGAGGTGGAGGAAATATAACACAGCTGTCTCTAACCTCTTTGAACGCAGGGGTAACTTCAATTCAGGACAACGGTAAATGGCACTTTTTCAAAATACAGTATCAGAGGAACAACAATGAAGTTTAACAGCGCTGCAGTGTGAATCTACCAGGTCAAAACTTACAGAATATTTAACAGAAATGTGAAGTTAGGAGTCAATTATGCATTCACACCATTGCTCCTTAAACCGTCTAAAAACAGTCCTTCTCTGGATGCACAAATGCTGCAGTAAACATCCCTTGCCAGGTCAGCTATTTCATAATCTCTCCCTCAATCCAAACCTGTAGTTGGTGGGATTGAAAAGTCACCATCAACTTTGCAAACACAGAGCAGCAAAAACCACCTCCTAACTCCGGATCTCAGGTAGTGTTAGCTGAGGTAGTCGGACCGAAGTCTCCAAAGGGACCTAAATCTGTCTGGTACGGTGATTTCTTACTAGGTGTGAAGGTGAGATGAACAGGAGTTCTCTCATACCATACTTGCCCCCATCATCTCCGTTGGCGTTGATTTTCTTCCCCAGGATCTGCACGTGTTTCCCCGTGGTCCTGCTGTAGAGCTGGTAGATCCGGACCTGCTTCCGGCTCAGGTCGTCCGGGTTCCTCGTGTGGTTCTCGATGTAAAATCTGAAATCAGCGGAGCTCTGCTGGGACTCCTGCGCCGAGGTGTGAGACAGAAGAGAGGGAGAGAAAGAGAGACAGAAGAGAAAGAGAAAGACAGACAGTGAGAGATCGTCACAGCACAGGTGTTTTATAGTAATTTGTGCTGTTGCTTTTATGGGCCCCGTGTCAAAAAATTCTGCTGCAGGGGTGAATAACTGAGCCTAGGAATTGTGGTTGTGGCGTTTCAACGTCTCTCTTCCCGCTTTAGCCGGCACATTTTATATGCATCGCATTTACAAGGTGATAACTACGCTAGAAGACGTGTTAATGAAGTCACCATTGGAGTAGAAATCCAACAGAACAAGTGCAAAGTGTATAGTGCAGCCTTCTGTAGCTTTCTATTGAGACAGCAGTATACTATGCGCCCTGGGCGATATTGAGAAACCTTTACCCCATTTCCACCAGCAAGCAAGCCACTAGCAATTATACACCTGAAGCATCCAGACCTGTTGCACTATCATCAAACAAATATCTGCCTGCAGGCGAAGCCAGGTCCATAAATTAGGAAACGCAGCAGGCGGAAGACAAGACTGAAAGATGGCAAGAGGCACCTCGAACCACAAAAAACGCTCTTGTGGGATCAAATTGTCCAAATCCACCTTTGAGAATCCACTCCCCCCGGTGCTTATGAGTCACCTTAGACCTGACATAAAAACAGAGGAAATCACCGCCGCTTGACGGCATGTCAGAGAAGGAACCGTGTCAAGCCTCCATGTGGAAGAGCGCGAGGAAACATATACTTTCAGAAGCCCTGGAATCTCGCTTCACGCCAAGATCCCATTTCCCCAGCTGTATGGTGTGGTAATTGCACAGTAATGGCTTTTTATGTGGCTGTTCTCAGGTGGCTAATTATATACACATTACATACCCCGAGTACTTGTTATTCTACCCTCGCTAAATTAATGGCATGTAGCATAACATGATGGGAAATTGTGGCCGTGTAAGAACAAATCCTTAAACTCAAGAGTGGAAAAATAAATCTGTGAATGAGAGTGCAAATTTTAATGGGGACTCTTAATGCCTCTCATGAACCAGATGTCCTTCAGGTTGAGCCCCAATTCACACGGATGATTCCTTTACGTTGGACTTACACTCTCACACAAAAGTGACATCTAACCTCCAAAAACAGACCAAAGGTGAGTCTAAACGCGGTCCTTTAATAGCGTTAAAGTGTCCTCAGACTGTAAGATGCAGCATCAGACTCAAGTTTTGACAGAGGCATCCCGTGTTGGCTCAATATGACGTATTCAGTCTAGAAATGTGGCCCTTGGAGGATCGAGTCCCTGAAGTGGGACACGGCTTCTGTATCTTGACATCCAGGAAACACACCCGTCATGTTACTTTTGGCGTCAGACAGTGTGAAAACACGAGAAGCTGGAATTTGAATGCTACAAATTTGTTGTGTTTCTATTGACTCTAATGCAACAAGACTCTAAAATGCTCTCTGGCTAATTTTCTGATGGCCGTTTTTTTCTCACAATCACTATTTATCCCACAGAATCGAATCCCTCTCGTCTCCAAATAAAGGTATCAAAATCAGTGATGGTTCAATTGGCTCCTTCGCTCGCTCCATAGTTCCCAGAGTGGCTGCTTGTTTTTAATTGCCGGACACAATTACTGGGAGCACTTATCCAAACATGCAACACAACTTGCATGAAACATCTGCATGACCATGACAACCGAGTCAAACTTGTCCCCCGGGCCAGCACTTTTTACGGCCTTCAAAACCTTTTCCTTAACCCGCAAAGATTAGTCACACTCCTGCAGCTCCAGAAACTCAATGAAGATCTGGATGCTTTAGTATTTAAGAGTTGATTTAATGAGCAGTAGTGGAGTAGAGTGTTTTTCTGAAACTCTGTATTGCTTACTTTATTTCACAGTCAAAATCCTGCACCAGACAACTAATTTATGTAAGTCTGACTCTATTTAAAGAGATTTATTGTCGCACCACCCGAGGAGAACGACAGCCAAGGTCATAAGACGGCATCTTGGGCTAGCTTGGTGAGCGTTGTGGCGTTATGGATGCACCGGCTGCCATCAATAACCAGAGAGAGGAGCTAGCAAAGGTTGTGGATCTGGAGAAGATAACAGAGGGACGACTCACTCAATCGTGCGTTATGCACGTCTGGTGATGCTAGGGATGGGGGATATGGGCTAAAATATTGATCACGATAAGATTTGCCATTCTGGCGATAACGATAAAAGACCCAATAAAAAATATTATACTTTTTGACTCATTTTGTCGTGAGAACACCAGTTGGAGTCGTCAAATAAGATACTTGACCACAAGTTTGAGTGGTAGGTTATGGAGAAAACTAATGACATCAAACAAATCTCAAATGTGAAAACATTTTCAACATTTGTTCAAAACTCTTATTGAACAGAGTGAACAGCAGCAGATCCACAGTCTGATGTCAGGCAGACCTGATAGCGCTCATCTAATCCCAAATCTTGAAGGAAATCCCTCATGTGGAGCCTCCATCAGTAACAAGCTGCTCAGAAACGTCTTCTTCATCACCTTCAGCCATGTTTGTTTGTTTGTTATTCTGCTCTGTGTGGACTATGGCTGCAAGTCTGTCGCACACTCTTACGTCATCAACTTGCATTTATCGTATTTCTCACAGAGGATTTTTCTTAAGATATATCGTGAAGGATAATTTACCGCCCATCCCTAGGTGACGCTTTAGCATTGGATGGACGACACGGATGAGGCCCTAACAGCTGCAACAACTACATCTCAGACTTGGAAGCTGCATGCGGTGAGCTACAGCTGGCTAACCGTCTCCTCAAAGTGATTTTGAAGCTGTATATTAATTTAATTTTGTACTAAATCAGGGGTGTCAGGTGGCATGCTGCACGTGTATCTATATCTTCTACAAATATGCACACACAAACCTAGACCAAGGAGCGACAACAACAACAGCAGACCATTTCCAGTCCTCACATTTGGTGCTCAAACATCCAGCGAACTCTGGAGCGTGATCAGCCGTACCTCTGAGCTTTTCGCAGGAGCAGCAGGAGCCAGAACGGCTGAACAAACACCGGAAAAAAAGTCACCTACAGGACCTTAATTCTCTGTAACAGGGTGTCAGATTCATAAGGTATGATTGACAAGCGCTCTCTGCTCTTCTCAAACACTAAAAAACACTAAAACAAAGTTTGTACCTTCAGAGGATATTGCTTTTAAAAAAAGGGAAGCAGCTTTTCCAATTAGCACATCCTGCTCTGATATTAAAGATTAATGGCAGATTTATAATCAAACACAACATAACGCACTGCTCCAAAAACTAAACCTCAGAATCATTTATTGTCAGCTCTCTCTCACGATCAACCATAAAGTTGACGAACAGGAAAGAAAAAAGTAACACACAACAAACCGTAGCCTAACCAGGCTGCTACGGGATTTATCCCAAATCTCCCCATCTCTAAACAAACATAAAGGTGTGTTTGGTAGACAGTTGCATTTTGCGTCAAGGGAAAGGCAAGCCTAAGCACATGGCTGAGGTGAACACCAGCGACAACAGTGTTTTATCACGCTGTCTCCTTTCTTCAAAGACACAGCATGAAAACGGATATGGTTGAAACTTCAAAAGTCTGGCACTCGTCTTTACCCAGGAAGCTTAGTTGTCGCATCCATCTAAGATACACCTTGCTATCTGCCCCACACAAACACACACACACAAGGGGTCACACACACACACACACAAGTAGAGAAAAACACACTCTCACAAGTTGGCAGTGCAGTCAAAGTTGACTCTTAACCGTGCTTGTCTTTCTTCACGAAATCACAGACTGACATGTAGGAGCCGTCAGCTGCAGGTAAGAGCTCCGAGGAGCAGAATGAACAACGTGATGTAAAAAGGGGGAGCAGGTTTTATTTTAGTTTAGGTTTTTCATCAGGCAGCAAGAATTCAAAAAACTAACAAAAAAAAAACAGAGTGTTTGCTTTGTCTGGCCTTCACCGAAAAACAACCATGGCAATGGAATAGCAAGAAATACAAGATATGTTTGAACATCAGGGGTAGTTTTCGTGTCGTCATTAAAATCTGTACTTCGACTTTAACTTCACTACATTTTGCCTGATTGGATGATATCTGAATTTGTCCCATTTCTACCCATAATACCTCACTACACTGACCCAACAACTCCAATTATAAATCTTATTTCAAGAATTTTCAAGCCGATTTTTTTCTTGATAAGCTCCTTGAATAAAATGTTACATTTTCCTCCAATAAACTCACCAATTGCAGCCATTTTTACTCATTACAATCAATGGAGTCCTTATTTTTGGCACAAGCCTCTCTGCACAGCCAGCCATGACTAAAGTATTCAATAACCATCAAAATTCCTGCACATGCTTGATGCTGTTGGTTTTATTTGAACAACTAGTTTGGGAAAATATAATTCTACATAACTTCCAGTAAAATGAAGTCGTTTTACTGTTACTTGAGCAGATTCACATACTCTTAGTCGCGCTCACACAGAAGTGAAAAGTCATTTCATTCACTGTATTTCTACTTGAGCAGAATAATTTCACTTTTTGCTCGCTGGTGCATTTTATACATCTGTGGGGCCACACTCTGCAACGACATGAACCACATCCTGAGCTCTGATCAGTCCACACTATAGCTCTGTCTGTGCCAGCTCTGTCGGAATAATCAGAGAAAACAGGCTTACATAACACCCAGCTTAGTTTGTGATTTAAAAATCTTAAATATTTTTGCATGAATTTTAATTCTGAGCCATTCTGGATTAAAAAAATCACTTCAAGGTTTGATTTTTTTTTTGAGACAGTAAACAAAGTGCTCCAAACAGCAAGAAATGAACTCAAGAGTTGTGCAAGATTTAAAATAATTTATAGTACTGTCAACAAAGACTGGGTTATATTCCTCCAAAAAGGTCAAAAAGTCATGTTTTCCTGTGTTGGCGCAGTTTACTTTTACAAATATTATAGTTTCATAATTTTATTGAAGTTTTTCTGGCAGAAAACCTGCAACCTGACGGTGCAATCTTGGTCTAAAAATGTGAGATTATAACAACTCTGAGAAATTCATAGGATCAAACACGTCATACCAATAACTTGATCAGATCAGCTTTATGAGAGTGGGAGCGCGTGCATGCTCTCTGCATCCTCTCTGAATCAAAGCGGCGCAATTAGGTGAGTGGATGTCTGCAAATGATTACTGTTCAAAGTGAGACGCAACTAATAAAAAGGCAGGCAACAAGCGCCAAACGAGCCCAGCTGTTTAAAGAACAGCTTTTTAACCCCAGGGATCAAAATATTTATTACACGATTCTGTTGTAAAATACGGAAACTGCTACTTGAACTCCAAATTAAAAACAACAGGTTGGCTGATGAGAAAACGAAATGTTTGCAGGAGGTTTTTAGTGGAAAAGTCCGGTGGGAAAAAGACGCGGTTTTACGCATTAAAACCTTACCTTAAATGATCAGAGTGGTGGCCTCAAGTTATTCAACATTTGTTATTTGTGCGCAACTTGAATATTATGCGCTTAAAATCACAGCAGGATGGGGCGATTAAAATTAGAAATCAGATTATTCTTATGCGCAAATTTGGTGGTTTAAAATTTTGCGCATAATCTAACTAGAATCTCTTCCACTCAGTCAATTCGGTGACGTTTCTATAACCTGATTTTAATAGCAGTTTTGGTTTTATTTTGACACAGGTCGGCCTGGTGTTGTTTTCAACCCGGCGTTCGTTGCGAGGACCGCCACTGCAAACAATCCACACATCTCACCAGCCTCAAAGGAGCGCAGGGACATGCAAACACAAAAATAAAAGGAGTTGAAAGTGGGAGTAAACGTACCTGTAGCTGGAAGTAGAGGACCAGAAAATGTAAACACCTAAGTACAGAGAGAGAGGGAGAGAGAAGAGAGGAGGGGAGTGAATCACACAGGCAATTACACGAAGAATACACGCAGCCTACCTGGATGAAAGCAATGCGTAAATATGAAGCTTTTGGCGACTTCTATTGGTAAGAATGTACGAGTTTATGTGCAAAAAGGCACCAGGAGATGTGGAACACTTACACGTATATGAACCTCGAAGGCAGCTGAGACATCTTGACTCGCAGAAGTACACCTGAAATACACCTGCTTCCACCGAGTTAGAGCCCCAGGAAAGGTTGGCGAAATCGCCCCCCTCTATCTTGCTTTCGCTCCCCTCGCGCGTCCTTTACGCGCACAACTCCGGGGGTAAGTACGAGAGCGAATCCCAGCGTAAGGATAGATCACTGGAGAGCAGCAGCAGAGTTATAGAGTGCAACATTAGGTGCTTCCTTGTTGGGGGGAATTATCCAGAAGTGTACGTTTCTCTCAGCTCAGTCTCCTCCGCTCCCCGAAATCCCAAAAAACGTCTCCGTAAGTTGGTGCCAAACGTGGAGAGGATTCAGAATTCAACTTCTCCAAATATCCTTTCGGCGAGAAATATTATCCTCCGAGTTTTTACGCACCTATACAGCCGAGTTTTCCCGCAATCTCAACCCTGCTGCTCCTGAGATCACAGGCTCCTCATGTTCGTCCGTACCTGCGGGGGATTTCTACACCTTGCATAGGTCATTTTATTCAATCAAGTGCTAAAGAGGAAAAGCTAGAGATAATAAAACGCCCTTCCACCTATGAGGCGCTAAAACCGAGAAAACAAAGTCATCCGCGCTTACTAAAAAAAGTTTCGTTTTTCAAAATCAAGTGTTGTGAAAATCGCAGCGACAGAAGCAGCAGCAGCGGATCCCTGGAGAGGTTTGGGGGCTGATGATGGCGCAGCAGTGCCTGTCAGTGGTGTTTGTGCGTCTGCGGCTTTAGATTTGGGCACAGAGAGGCTTTTTTGTTGTTGGTGGGTGGAAACATGTCAGCGGTTTGCACCTGATAGGGTAATCTTGGAGAGACCATCAGCTTGAAGAGGGTTTTTTCCTCTCGGTGGGCAAAACAGCGCGCAAAAGGAGAACGAGGACAAGGAGAGGAAAAGCTTTTTGGTTTGTTTTAGGGGGTTTGAATTGATTTTTTTTCCTTTCACACAAAAGGGAGTTCAGGGATTTAACTCTGCTGGACAAAAACAACCGGGGTGTGAGGGTCTTATTCAGGCGCACGACTTAATTCTTTACGGAGAGTTTTCATTTTTGTGTATCTTTTACGCAAAACACTTCATTATTTTAGAGCTGATATAAATACAGTGATTAAATTCTGAGACCGTGAGATGAAATAAGCAGTGTGTGTGTTGAAGCAGCTCCAGAAACTGATCCTCTCCCTCTGTTATTTGTGCCTTTTAAGCTGCTGCAGGTTTGTGGATTGGCCTCGGCTCTCCCAGACACCATTCAAATGCAGGTTGTTGTCGAGCTCGATTTTTTTCAATAATGTGCTATAACTTATCCTGCATTTAAATGAAAGAGAGGTGTGAATGTGTTTACGAGCTGGCAGCAGTAAAGTGAGCCCACATCCCTTCTGCCATTAAGAAAAAAAGAAAAAGAAAAAACCTTTGTGGTTCGTCTTTATTGTCCCATTAAAACTGGATCCTTGGCATTCCTGTCCCATTCATATTCAAAATGATTCCAAATGATTACATACATAACTTCCCATGTTGGGGATTTCAAAGAGCCCCCTGTGTAAGAGAGCTTAACCCTTTATATCCAGGAGAAATACTCTTTCATGGCGTTTCTGAAGAGATTTACCTTTGAATAAATCAGTAAGATAATTTGTGTTGTGTTTGAGCACAAATGTGGATAAAGTGGCTTGATGTGGGTTTACTCTGTGATTCATGGCTGACTGCCTAACAAGAGGGCTTGATCCTGCCAACCACACTGCACTTTAATAATCCCTCCAACACAACTGATGTATAGTGTCATTTAAAGCATGACTAATTTAGCCTTGTCTGCCTTAGGGAGGGAAATCACAGCAGAAATGAGCAAATAGTAATTATCCTGAGAGATAGTTTGATGATTTCTTTACAAATACAAGGCTCTGCTGGATCAAATAAGGCTTACGTTAGCTGCCGCTCACCACAGGTAAAGATTTCTCCCTCAAAGTCCAAAACAAAAGGCACCTGACAATTGATTTAAAGAAGGCAGGAGGATAAACAGCAATTAGCGCTCTGACTGAGGAGAAGCCAGCACAGAGGAGTCACTCATCGCCTCTTTTAAGCACATGTTTGCGACAAAACTTCTCAGAGCATGACTGTAAATCCACAACTGTGAGGTGAGAGCGCACCAGCAGGGCTGGATGTGGCCACCTGTGATTTACAACGAGGAGGAAATGTAGCTCTGCTCGTGGCAATGAGGGGAAGATCCCAGGTTCTGAGAGGACTTTCATCATTTTATCAGTCTTCAGGGTGTGGGAAATGCAGCCAGTGATGGCCAACAGCCAGTTTGCTGGATGGTTCTGCAGTGCACTTGTCTGGACAATGAGTCACTTTGGCAGCCGGCCAATCAGGAGCCAGAGGGACAGATTTCAATGCAAAAACTGTGAGATACAGTTCGGCACAAAAGAAACCAAAGTTCACTGAAGATAAACTTATCTGCCATCTTTTTATGGCAAACAAACGCAAACAAGTCCATCGAGGACAGAGTTAGATTTTATTTTATCACGTTTGATGAGAAGAGGGGGGTGGGTGTCAGCTGAGGAAACAGCCCTGTTTTAAGTTAGCAGGATGAACTTTTTATTCATCTCAAGCATGTAGAGAACAAAAGAAGCAAAAACTGCTCTCACCAAAGGGGGGCGCTAAAATTGACAAAAACTGAAAATTCTTCAGTGGAGCTTTATTATTTTTGCATGGGCCTCTAGTTTCCAGTTGTCCCTTCATACCTTAAGTTTGTGCAACAAATCCATTCACACTTACACAAAAAAATATCCCTTAAATTGTTTTATTTTGTTCATCTTTCTTGTGGTGCTTGTCTCGTAAAAGGATTCACTCTATATTTGAGCTATAATCCGGATTTTAAGCGCCATAAAATAAACTGATCGGCCAAATTCACCTGCATTAGAAGTTACTGTTTGAAGAAAAAAACATTTACAGAGTTTTAACATCATTATATTTTTAAGAAAAATATGAACCAAAGTTTAACATACAGGGTAGAAATGGGAGTATTTAGCAGGTGATTCTAGATTCAAACGCTCCCTTGCTTACTCCTCATGTACATAAAGTGACGGTGGCCTTGGAGGACAAAATGCTTCTGAGATGTATGAGACGTATGACCCTTCATCTGAGATGTTTTACCATCAAAACAAACCTCACTCCTCTTTTTCTTCATCTTTTTGGCAGCCACTGACCAAATACATAAATGTACAAGTTTGTCTGTTTAGGGCTCCCGTAGAAACTTGGTGGTACAAGATGGCAGCCATTATGGGCAGTAACCCTTGTACAGATATATGAGGTTTCAGCCCAACTGTAGCCAGTTGTGTTTTGTTTTATATTAGTCTAAAAAATTTAATTTGGGTGAATTTGCCCTTTAACTGCAGAGTAAATATAGTTTTTCACAAAGTTGAATTCGTAAATGCTGCAACAAATTGCCAACTAAAAATGTTTATAAGAAGCAGCAAGAATCGATGAAATGTGGTACGCCGCAGGTCGGGCACAATAAGAGTGAGCTTTATGAATGGGGAGAGCTGTCTCACAGTCCAGTTTCAGAGGCTGGGAGGAGGAGAAGGAGGAGGAGAAGTAGGGGGGCAAACCACTCAAGAGTTGGGATAAGGTTACCACAGAGATTAGCTGACAAGAGTGAGGGAGTGAGAAAAACAAGCAAGCAAGTTAAAGGTCTTAGTTTACCTGACTTGCTGTGCCTGGAAGCCAATGAAAGTGCTTTCAAACCACAAGATTCAAACAGCGCCTGAAGTGATCTCCGGCAGCCATATTTCTCTCTTCTATTTTAATTCTGATGACAACAAATTTTACTTTTAAGTCAAAGTGGCGAGTGATGTTATTTAGTAGACTCCCAGACTCCTTTCAAGCCTTTGAATTTGAACCTCGCTGCGTCCCGTGCAGCTATGCGTGTCTGTCCGCAGCGACGGGACTGTGGGAATGAATGCCAGCGAGGATATCTCATTGAAGCTAAAGGAGGAGGCTTCTGAGGGCGGGCGAGCTCGCCGCGGTTCAAAGGGTCCTAGCAGGCATTTAGGGCTTGACAAAAGAACTTGGCAGATCAGTAAGTGAAGCCCAATGTACTACATTAGTGTCAGGACCCCCTCCGCGTCCCTCCCACTTTGCACTTTCATCTCTGACACGGACATATTGACTTAAAGGAAAGGAGGGGTGCCAGGGACGCAAAGGAGGGGTAGGCAGTTGTCGGGAGGGGTGCATGCGTCCCATTCAACTCTCAAGGTGAGGCGATTGATGCTGAGGGGTGACCACTGGCTCATATAAACCACCCAGGAGGCTTTTTTTTAACAAGAAGTCACAGGCCGACAAGCGTGTGAGACCTAACCGGGGACGGCCCTCTTCCTCTCATCTCAGTGGAATCAGCCTCACCCCATTAGTATAAGCTGACCCCAACCCCCGCCACATCCTTTTTCACGCCGTTAACCGTGCCCTTCTACAGGCCACTGAAGTCCAACGGCTAACACGGGCTTTGGGTCGCAACAGGGTCGCGACACCTCGACATAGTGGAGGGTGACAGAGAGAGGAGCCAGAGGAGGGAGGGAGGGAGGGAGGGCGCGGAGAGAGCCAGCTACCTCACAGACTATTCAAGTATCACCTGAAGGAGAGGGAGGAGGGAAAGAAGCGGGAAGTGTTTCGGTAATTTGTCCCCCGTCACACATTGTTTGCATGGAGTCATTAAGGGCCATTTAGGGCTTTTGCCTTGAAGGGAAGAGGCCAGAGAGTTTGGGTGCGGGTGCAGCTTACGTTAAGAGGCGGTGGGAGTGAAAATTAAAGTGTTGCTCTTCAACAGTTCATCCCGGAGCAGCTCAGTACACGCAGAGCATATTAATGTTTCCACTGACTTCAGTTGCGTGTTTGACGTTAATGATGATTTGCCTCAAGTCATCCAGCGAGGGAGTCTTCAGTTGTCCAAAAGCGAAGGAAAATTGTGGCATCTGTTGTTACCAAACGCAAACACATGAATTAACCTTAAGTGAC